AAATTCTAAACATTAAAATTAAAACCCTTAAAAAAAAAAAAAAAACAGTGATGAAATTTAGGGATGCTCTTCCATTGTCGTCTCTCGTCAAAAAGCCAATATCTTATAGTTATTATTAGGGTAATAATCAAGTCGAGTCAAATCAAATAGTAAGAAGTTCGAATTTGAGCTCGACTCACAATTCGGGGCTCGATACTCGATCGAGCTCGATCAAATTTTATTTTTCAAGCTCGAGTTCGATTCGTGATTGAATTCGAGCTACTCGAACTTACTCAATTAAGCTCGATTCATATATTCTACAAGAGTTCGATTATTCATGCTCGAACTCGAACTCAGACTCGAAATATTTTATTAATTAAAATAATAAAAATATATTTAAATATAAAAACTCGATTAAGCTCGTGAGCTACTCGAGTCGGATATAAGAATATTCGAATTCAGCTCGATCGATAAGTCGATTTATTCGAGCTCAACTCGATAATAATCGAACCGAATTTGAGTTTTCTTCAAATCGAACAAAAATAATTTACGAATACTAATGTATCATTTACATCTCTAATTATAATGATTGTACGATCACTCATTGGGCTTCAGTGGACCTTTAGGCCTCAATCATGGCTTCAAATTGTAGCCTTTTTCTTTCATTGAGATGTTTTATGATTTTGTACATTGTTTTCTTACTTTTTGTATGATTACTTGGAATATTTCAATGGTTGGACTATGGACATTACAGTTTTTCAATCTAGAAATAATTATATTCAAATTCCTTAGTGAAAAAAAATTTTATGGATTAAGAGAAATTTAGCTATATTATAAGATTTTTTATATTTAAAATTATTAAAAATTAATTTTGATCAATAAAATTAAGAGTTGAACATTTTATTTACAAATCGTACTGCTGTTGACCCAAGTAAATCTTTGCATATACAAATTAAAAGTAAAAAAAATTATATGCAACATTTTTAGCAGCAATTATATGCTCATTTGTATTTATTTTCTATTAAGAGATTGTCCCATTACACACATGATTGCATACAAACACTTAAATATAAAAAAAATGGTAATTATAAAATAATATTATTCAATTATTTTCATATTTTAAAATAATTAATAAGATACTTAGTTTTATCATTTTTATATTTTTAAAAATTGTAATCTATGTATAAATTGTTAATGATATAATATTTATTTTTTTATATATATATGATTAATTATTATATGATCCCACAGAATTATTATTGACTTGTTATGATTGAATCCGGTTATGATATTGTTGGATCTGGTTGGCGCACGTAAGCTTGAACCTAAAGTTTTTTTTTTTTTTTATGGTGAAATCGCCAACAGCGTCTCTTCTCTCTAGAGCTTTTCTCTCCTTTTATGTAAGCTGATTTCAAATTTCAAATAAAATCAAAGCTAAAATAATAGATTTTATTTCTGTTTTAACAATTTTAAAATTTACCATTTTTTAATAAATAATTTTATTGTGTCATAAACCATCTTATATATATTCTCGCATTTAAATTAAAGCCTTTTAATTTTCATGACTGAATGATAATTTTTTTAATTTTTAATTATCGTTAAATTCTTTTATTATATATTTATTTAATTAAAAAAATTATATATATATATATATAAATCAAGGATGTTAATCTTATCTATACCTAATGAAAAACTCGATTTTTTATTTAATTAGGAATGAAAATAGGTATTATATTATGAATATAAGAATGAGGATGTACATAATTATAATTTTAAATTTTTATTGAGTACGGATATGAAAATAAGTAATATAGTATTTATTTCGTACCCGTACCTGATATATATTTATATATATTATTAAATGAATTTTTTATTAAATAATATAAATTATTATTTTAGATTAATTAAAATTAATATATTTTTATTAAAAAATATATATTTATAAAAAAATTACTTAAATATATAAGATAAAAATTTTAAAAAATTAATTTTTATTTTTTAAAAAAACTATGGTACGAAAATTCTTCAAATTTATTAAATACCAGCAAAAATAAAGATGAAAATAAATTTAAAATATTCATTAAATATGTATATAGGGATGAATAAAATATAAAAATTTAGAAATGAAGTTAAAGAATATTTTATTTTCCCTACATCTTACTAATTAACATCTTTAATATGAACTTATAATTTTTAAATGCTAATTTTAATAATATGCTAATTGATATAAAAAAAAATCAGTCGACTTACTAAACGTAATCATAAGCTAAAACTAATAATTTTTTGCCAATTATTTTAACATGACCCTAGATCCTTGCCACGATTTTAGGTAATTAATAATTAATTATGCCCACGTGTAGACAGCAAAGTCTAAAATTTCTCAATTGAGCAAAACCAAATCTTTTTATCAAAAAAAGATTTTAAAAGTTAGTCCATTGGGACAAGGACTGCCTTTATATTCTGATCTCCTCTTGTTAATATTAAATTCAAACTTCAATTATGTAGTGTAGGTTTGTACTTTGCTCTTTTTCTATGCTTAGATTTAGGCCATAACATAAATAGAAATATACATGTTTCAAAAGCAATTGATAATTCAATAATTAAGTTTTAAAACTTTCTAATTAGAAAGTCCTGCCAATCATTCATCCAAAGGATCCAAAACCAAAAGTAAATTTAGACATTTAATTTATACTTTCTTTATCCATAGCGGTTAGTTTGGCAAGGAAAGAATTTTTTTATTAATCAAGATTTAATTTTTAAGAGAAACATTTCAAATGTAAAATTTTAAGGACGTAACATTCTTTTGAGAAAATATAGATTTTTTAATTTTTGTATTTATATCATGTAAAAATATTAATAATTTATATAATCGTATCATATTTTAAATAAAAATTATATGTTTTAATTTATGTTGATACGAAAATATGTAATATGTATTTTTAATTTTATAAAATCTATTTATAATTTTTATTAAAATTTTAAATCGAATTATTTTTATATTTTTTATTCATATTATTTTTATATTATAACATCATATTATATTTTAAATTATCAAATATAAAAAAATATATATAAAAAAAATGAGATCAGACCAAATTTAAGTATACTTTTGACTGTTTATACTATTTCTCTGGCCTATGACTTCCCTATCTTTTTGAGGTATGCCAGGCCATTTCTCCTAGATTGACTGCTTCATGCAATCAAGCTTCCATTAAAATAACAAATCAAATTTTTTTGGCAAGATGCAGAGCCCCTGGCAGAACACGTTTCCAAGCTAGTACAAAATCATATCCCAACTTGATATTCTGAGCAATAAATATAACAAGTTGTGGCGTAATATATAGTGAGATCCACTACATATGTTGTTTATTTTGACCAGGTTGTTGTAGGTCCTGAAATCATATATATATATATATATATATATATGCCTTTGATATTTCAAGAAGCAATGCTATCAGATTCATTATGATTTGCCACCCTCCACTCATCCATGTGTTTCTTGTTCTATCATCATAAATTATAGAGGAAGACTACAAACTCCATAGTGGGGGCAAGCTTTTCCGTTTTCCTTCAAACATCATCTAATTCAACTCCGTAAATTAGTTAAACAAGGAACCGAACTGGACTAGATGCATTAAATTAGTTGGCAGCCGTTGGATTGAAACTAAACTTAAGCTAAAGGGGAAGAATTTACATGACAGAGGTACAACCAAGTTGATGTTGGAGATGAACCAAGCCATTGTTGATATTATCATGATTACCTTCATTCTAATTCCAAGAGTGTGCAGTGGGAGTTGATGGGGATTGGAGGCAAAAGCGACGGCCAGCAAATGGGACAATTTTTGTAGGGGAATGGTCAATATTCCAATAGTTTAAGTCCATCCAAATTAATAAAATAATCATAACCTGGATAGAAAATTTGTATGGCATAGATGTAAATAATCCTGTGTCACATTTATTTTTTTATATTATATAGTATATCTGTCCCCAATCGGAAGGGTTGGGACTTTTAGGACAAGACTGGTCCAAGTGGCACTATGTTATTGAAACAAAGAGAAAAAAATTTGAAGAATAAAAAGGGAAGACCGGGGTTCATGCATGAATTTGGACAGCAAAGAATCAACGGGAGAATCCATGGCTAACTTGACCCATACTCTCCCACCATTTCCATTTCCCACTTTCACAACGCAACCATGACTTGTGAAAACAATATAAAACATTGTTCGATGATTATTAGACTTCATTTGGATGCTGAACGGAAATTAAACTTCATTTGAATGCGCAATGAAAATGTGCAATGCCCATTTACGCTCTCCGAATCGCACTTTCAAATGAAGCCTTGATAACAAAACATTGCTATTCAACACTAAACTTGTAGGCCTATAAACTTGACAACACAAAACTTGTATATTCATGTACAAATGACAGAACTAGCTTCAAAGAAAGCAGGCTGATGAAGAACTTTCTACAAATACAAAATTTGCAAGATTTTACACCTAGAGAACTTGTAAATTGTCTGTGAACTATTTATTTTCAAGGGAAGGCAAAGAATAGCCATACAAATGCCAAGATGCATCTATACTAGAGAATTCTTAGTCTTTCCGACTGCTCTACCAACTGTTTTATGACCTACAATAACTTAAATCTAGCTAGTTTCGCACTGTGCATGTAATCTATTTTATTAGAATGATGTGTTGAAGAGAATTCTAGCAAACTATTTATTAGATCTGAAGCTATATATGCAATTCAACACGAGCTTGGGCACATTAAGAGGGGGGAAAAAGGTGAAGGAGCTAATTTTGTATACCATTGTGGCTGTGAATGTTGCGTGTAACATCTACATGCAGGATGCATGGTTGGGAATTGAAGGAGCCAAAGATGTTATCTTAGTCTATCCCCAAATTGATTTGAAAGATTCAAGGCTGCCTGAGTTCTGCAACCTAAAGCAAGTGTCATCACACAACTTTGTTATTCTGCATCAGGACTTTCCGAAGCTCAATGGCAATTTCTTGTAATAGCACTGGTTTTCGAATAATTTCATTTATTCCACTCTGCAAACATTTTTCCTAGATATCCTTTTCAGTGCTAGCAGTCATGGCAACAATCAATGGCCAACTATGATTTCGTGACTTTCGAATTCTCATTGCAACTTCAAATCCATCCAACTCAGGCATCTGAAGCTCCAAAATAACAATCTCAAAAGGAGATGAGGTTGGACCAATAGCACTGAGCCAATCAAATCCAGATGACACAGCAGAAACAATGCATCCCAACTTCTTGAGAAGCTTTCGAGTCACAGCACAGTTCACATCATCATCATCAGCAAGAAAAACTTGCAAGCCCCTGAAAAGAGAGTTGAAGCGTGGCTGGTCTGAAGATTCTCCAGAGTCGGTGATTGTTATTCAGATGGATGGTTGGACTTGAAACCGAATAACAAGCGCCATGCTTTGGGCAGAACCTTGAGGATTTTGGACTTCCCAGATGTTCCCATGCATCAGCTGCAAAAATTTGAGATCGTGAAAAACAAATCAATCAAAAAGTTGAATAAAAAGATTTGAAAAAAAAGAAAGATTACTATAATAGGTGTATAGCATCATTAACCATGTCATGAGTAAAATTTTCATTGTGCAATAATCAGTTGCAGAAACAATTAACAATTCTAGCTTAGCCAATTCTACAAACTGTCAACCCATATGAGCATAAAGTTCTAAATGAAAATCTCTATGATGGTTTCAGATAGGATCCAAACATCCAAAGCCTTAGCCTTATAGAGGACAATGAGCATTATGCAGTTAGCTAATGATAGAAAACCAGATGCAGGACGTTTCATCAGCTATTCATCAGGTGATAAAAGCTCTTTATCCTACTTAATGTACTACCATGCCACAGATTTCATATGTTTTTGGTAGTCTACTGCTCACTTTATCTCTCAGCAGACAAAATTTACTATCCTTACCTGCACTAGCTTTTGGCAAATGCTGAAGCTCAAGCGTTCCTCAGCTCCACGGCTGTTGTATCTTCTCTCACTGATCTGTACCTCTGACATTGAGCAGCCCTCCAATTCAGAATTACTATTGTCAATCCTAATTTCAAACCTGATATGCACATCTGCATCAGAAGAGCTGTGCTTCCAGGCTGCTCGTCTCTGATCATTGCATTCCTGACTACCATTCTGTGTGAAGACCCGAAGTAACACAGTTCCCTCTCCACTATTGCCATCCAATAGGCTCCCAAACATATGCAGTATCACCTGAAAAAGTCTCTTTTCATCACCAAAAACAAGATCAGGCAAGGACTTGTCAACCTCAATTGAAAAACCAAAACCCCTATAAACACACAAGCACTTGGCAAGGCAAGCTACTTCTTTTATCATGGAATGGAGTCGAAGAGATCTCTTCTCCAATGGGGATCTTACACTATCCATTGTTGAAATATCCATCACATCGTTTATCAAAGTTGATAGGACATTACTGGTCTTCATCATGGAATCAACAATAATTTGTTGATCATTATTCAAATTTCCATCATGCATCATTGAAAGCAAGCCTAAAATCGAGTGCATAGGCCTCCTCATTCCATCACTCATTACCTTCTGAAATGCATTTCTAGCCTGGCTTGCCCTCATAGCATTCTGCCGTGCCAATTCTAATGCCCGATTTTGCTCAACCAATTTCTCCCTCATGAGTTGTGACTCTTCAAGAACTGCAGCATGAGAGAGTGCAACAGCCACCTGATCAGCAACCACCTTAACTATCTCTAGTTCCTGGTTGCTCCACGATCCATGTTGTTCGCTTGGAAAAACACAAACCAATATGGCATAGCATGTCTGAACCAGCTCAGGGGTTCCTCCTTTAAAATTGGATACACGAAGCATTGGCATCCGAATTGCAGCCACAGGTCCTGGCTCACCATATTCTCCATTGCTTGCAGTAGCAAGAGCTGAGTCTGGCTTGAGGATATTCACTCCATCACTTCCTTTAATCCTTACAACATCTGGATAAGTAATGGGAATAGTAAAATTATATGAATAGTTCCTTCCTTTGAGGTCATGAGTCAGATTCATCTCTGTCTTCATCTCATTAGGAATCCAAATAGCACAATTTTGCAAACCTAATGTCTTGGACAACTCTACCATTGTTGTGTACAAAATGGTATGCCTATCCAACGATTTGCGAATTTCTTGAGTAAGCATGCGGACATGCAAACCAGTCTCCTTCTGCTTCATTATAATACCAACTTTCCGCCCAAGGTCCCAAGCCTTTTTCTTCAGCATAAATTCTCTCACCTTGACTTTGAGAAGCAATGGAATGAGCGTGATAAGCGTAATAGCAGTGGCACATGAGACCAAAGCAGTGAGAATCTTAAACACAGTAAGAGCCAACATGAGTTGGAAAGGATGCGGGCCATAGGTCCACCCATTGAGCAAATGGGTCAATCCACATAGCACAATGAAGGCGATGAACTCAAAGAGGACCCATTTGAATGGGACGTTTGAGCAGCTAACAAAGTAAAGCAGCTCAATAGGGATCGAAAAATATGCCACAGCAATAAAGAAATCACTCACTCTTTGTGTTTCTAAGATTCTCTCAATGCTCCAAAAACTCCCCTCATCATCACAATTACACCTCGGAAAGCCACTCTCCACCGCGGTCACCAAAATTAGAAGTGAAGAAATTAACAGCCCAGGAGCTAATGCTTTTAACATTGCATCCAAACGGACTGCTACCCTTTCATTCAATCCATTTATTGAAACACCTTTTCAGTTATTTCCAAACACTTTACTCCTCTATCTAAAACACAGCTCACTTGAACTACAACCTTATAATCCCAAGCTTCAATTCTCATTGCCTGTAATAGAAAGACAACTCAATATTGTTGAAAAACATTAAAAACCCACCAAAATATGAAATTTAATAGCATTGAATTAAAATCTAACACACTGTACATCCCAGAATTTGTAAATTTTTTTTTTTAAAAAAACGTTGTTGGTCAAAATAATTCAATCCAAAGCTCTTTATTTGATTCTCATCCTCAAATTTCATGTTTTTATTAGTTTTATATCATATGAATTATCAAATAGTACAGTAACACAAGAACACGACATTTTCTTCGCTCAAAAAAAAATTTATAGAATTTTTTCATGGTTTATAACCAAAAAAAAAGAGTAAGCTTTCGCAGAGCAGCCCCACAAAAAGAAAAAACCCTTAAAAAAAATACCAAGAAACCAAAAAAAAAAACTGTCTATAAAAGCGAAAAGCAACCCATTTCTTCATAGTTCCAGAAATGCAGCCTCAGAATCAAGCCCAAAAAAACAAAACCCAGAGTTTACAAAGCAAAGAAAATTTACCTGAAACCAGAAGCCATAAAAAGAAACCACCTTCAGATCTTTAGAGTTTCTATCACATGCAACGCCAAAGACATATCTTTGATGACTCCAAGCTTAAGTATTTCTCATTCCAATTCAATCACTCGCCGTCCATTTTACAGTTTCAGAGCACCCGGCACCAAAATCAAAGACGAAAAAAAAGGAAATGTTTTTTATAATCCAAAAGCTTCCGGTTTCTTTTTTGAACCGCTCAAACAAACACTAAACCAGAAGTCGGTGAAGCTAACACACAAAAAAAAAAAAAAGAATAACAACAAGAACCAAAACAAGCTGTTTTTCAAAATTTGTGTCTGATTTAGTCTGGTCTGGTCTGGGTTGGGTTCTCTTTTTTCTTTCTCCTCCTTCAAAGCTTTCCTTTATATCGCAAACAATCTGTTGCCTTTCAAATAAAACCAAAGAATCAGAACCCCAAAGCCCAAAAAACCCAAAAGAAAAGCGGTTTTTGAGAAAAGAAAGGGGAAATTAAAGAGAGAAACGAAAGAGGTTTGCTTTTAAGAGAAACCAAAAGGGGAATGTATATATGTAAGTAAGCGCCGTTGTTTTTGTAAGAAGCTGAAAAAAAAAAATTGAAAAAGGCAGAGAGAGAAAGAAGAAGAAGAAGAAGAAGAGAGGGAAAAAGATGGGACCCACCTTCTTACATGAAGAGAACTTGGACGCCCTTTTGAACCAAAACGTCTTTTTCATACCCAAAAAGATTTGTTTTATTTTTTCTCTCTCTTTCTCCTTTCCTTCTCTTTTTCTTTTCTTAGAGGTTTTTTTAACCGGACGTTTGTTGCCACGATAGCCTTTGTTTCATTTTCAATATAAGGCGCGTGGGTAACTGTCATAGTAGAATGCTGATGGAATCCCAACGTGCTTGTAAAACCTAAAGGCTTGTTTGGAACGACTCAATATAACTTTTTTTTTTGTTCATTTGATATTGGATTATACAGTAAAATGTAACCTGTACTTATTTTTTTCTTGATTCATTTCAATATCTAAACTTGAAACCTTTGAGCAGTGGCGGATTCAAAATTTTTTTGAAGTATTCAATCATAATATATATAAAAAAATTTTTATCAACAAAAATTGTATTTAGAGAAATTTTTTTCTTCAAATTTTTTTTTATTTTTCAAATTTTAAGGATGCATATGAACATCCTGACAAATTATGTGGATCCACCCTGTCTTTGAGATGAAATCTTGAACTCTTACAATTCGAATGTTCCTCTAAAGAAAATTTTAATTACATGCTAGACAAACAAGGCCTAGATAATAACATATGGCACCTATACATCTTAATTCTCGGGGGAAAGAGAAACGGATAGTGTTTAATACGCGCTTTCAAAGGAGTGGTGATGTACTTTTGCTATTAGTCACATAAGAGGAATAATGAAGCCTTAATTGTTTATATATATATAGAATTAGATCACGTTTTATGAATTAGAATATTGAGAAAATAAAATATTAATTATTTTATATTATATAAAATTACAAAAAAATTAATATTTTTTGTTATAAAATTATTTAATTTTTTTAATAAAAATTATTATTTTTAATTCATAAGATTAAATTTATATGTTTATTTATATTTTTAAAAATTATATCATAAATTTAAATTATATAAATTTAAAAAAAAATTAATTTTAATTAATAAATAAATTATTAAATTTTAATTTTTACATATATTAAATATAAAATAACATTATTTAAATTAATTATATTTATAACTATATTTTATTTTATTTTAGCATAATTTTATATATCTTACTTGACCTAAATTATATACGCATCTATCTCTTATTCAAATTCTTCGTGCTTAAAATTCCGAGATTGTTTTAGTTGATTAATAAATTTAATTTTAAAATTAAAATTTTAATATTTATAATTTTTTTATAAATAAAAAATATAGCCAAACCTACCGATACGTAGGGGAAAAAAAATCTCGTGGGCTTGCTATGGCCAGATGAAATGAAAGCGAAATAAATGGTTGGCTTTTATTATGTGAAAAAAAATTGGAATTAAAAAAAAAATGAATACTGGGGAAAAATGTTAGACAAATTTTCTATGGGAAAAAAATAAAAAAAAAAAATGATTTAATCCAACTTGAATTCAATGTTTATAATTTGAAGTAGTGGGACTATCTTTTACCATTTTTGTTTATAATCTAATTGACAAGTTGTGAACTTGGCTTCATAAAATATAAAGCAAGTCAATACTTTAATACGTCAAATTTAATTATAAGTTACGATTACGTTTTGTTGTTATTTTTGCCATTTATTTTTATTTTTCATTAGTTTTCAAACTATTTTTTCATAAAATATTTGTGTCAACTCATGTATTAAATTTTAGATTCTTAATGTTATTTGAAATTTATAAAATATTTTAGGAATAAGAGTAAAAAAAAAATTTTAGTTTTATTAAAAAATATAAATATAAATAAAAATAAAAATTTGATATTTTACTATAAAACATTTTTGATCTGTTGATGTAATAGATAAAAAAAATATTTATTAAGATTTATTTGGATGAATGTGAGATAAATAATTAATTTTTTTTCACCCTTTTTAAAGGAAGGGAGGGTGACCAATATGTAACCAAATATCTTATTTAAATTCCAAAGTGATATTTAAAGATAAAATAATAGTTAAGAAGAATTTGAATGTTAAAAAGTTAATTAGTTATGGTGAGCTTAATTCATTAACATTTTGAATGAAATTATAAAAGAATTTTGTTAACAACTGTTTTTAAATAATTAAAATATTATTTATAATAATATTATTAAGTTAAAAGCAGGATTAAAAGTGGTGAGCCACATAGAGCGGTGATGGTCCAGCAAGATCCAGCCATTTTCTATCAGGAAAAATCATGATCCAGAGATTTTGACCACCTATCTTTTTACTTCAAGAGGAGGTTTGATATGCAAACTCTTGGATTTCAGGAGAATATGTAATATATGAAAAAGTATGATATCCGGAAGAAAGTTTTATTTTTAGAGCATCCATTTTTCATATTCTTGTATTTAATTGGGGGAATTTACTTTTATTAAATCATATATTTTTATTATAGTATTTTTGACAACCTTAGAAAAAGCTTTTCATTTTGTTTGAAAAAAATAAATACGATAAATAATGACTTTATAAATGAAGGAAGGATTTTACATTTTTTTAAAAATTGAAATTGTGCAAATTATTGCATTTATATAAAAAAAATGTAATAGTTTATGTGAATTTTTAAAAAATAACTATACTTGATTACAACATTTAATTAAAAGAAATGTCATTATTATTTTTGTTTAAAAATTTAAAATACTCAATTACGACATTTCGTAATAACTTTCGTTTAAAAATTAAAAAAACTTAATTATGGTGATTTAACAAAAACAATGCCATTATGGCTTTCATTTTAAAATTTACTTAATTCAATTACGGTCTTTAATTAAAAGAAATACCATAATTGCTTTTGTTTAAATAAGGACTTTACTCAATTATATCATTTAGTTAAAAGAAACGTTGTAATTACCTACTTTTTTAAATAATTACATAACTCAATTATTGCGTTTCATTTAAATAAATGTTGTAATTGAGTCTTTTTTAAACTATACTTTTAACCATTCTGTTTATTGTACACCTAAACTCTCAACCAGCAAATGAAGCGTCGGAAGCACAAAACCCCTACTCACATCGTCTGACTACCCTCGTTGTTGAGTCACCCTCATTGCCATCAAGCCTAAATTGTTACCACTGTTGCCTAGCCTAACTCTGATAAGTTTTTTTTTTTTTTTGTCGTTTTATTTGTCATTGGATGCGTTTGTTTGGATTATATGTTATGTATTCCCAACATTAATTTAATAATAAAATGATTCTTCCATTGCTCTGATAACTGTAACTGCAATTTGATTTGTTAGTTTTAGAGCCATTGGCTATGTGTTAGCCTTGTTTTTGTTGATTAAATTCTCAAAGCTTTTAATCTTAAAATAATCCTATTGTCAATAATATTTTGGCTGTGAAATTGTTGCTTATATGTTAATAAAAATAAAAAGGCTACATTAAAGATAATGGATCTTAATGCATGTTAAACTTGTCTTGGTGTTCTGATAACTTGTGATTAGTTAGTTCATTTTCAGAACTATGATTAAAAACTATGCTGTCCTAGGTGGTTTTTGTGAATGACAATGTTTGAAAAGTTGAAAAGGTTTGAACTTATGCTAAATTATTGATTTTTTTTACCTTAAAATAATATGAGCATATTGAGAAATGTGAATTTTGCATCGTGAAGCTAGATTTTATTGAGCGAGTAGCAAACTAGGTCTGTTGTCAATTTGCAGCCATTGTTAGATGACTCATGGTGGTAGTTTTTTTTGTTCTATAGATATATGTTTTACATGTAAAATATATTTGTTTGATTTGGTTTGTTTGTTACATCTAATACAGTTCTGATCAAAATCATAAGATAGTATAGCTTCAAAAGAACATGTCTCCTTTTACCAACATGAAAAAGAAGTCTTAATTGACATATCTATTTTGAAAAAGAGAAAATCTAGAAGATGTGGTAAATTACATAAAGTTGGTGAGAAAAAAATTCATGTTGAGTTAAATCAAGATGGGCAACCTGTATTAAGTGGAGGTGCAAAGTTGGCTAGCTATATTGGATATGTCGTCCGACAAACTATATCCATTAACTACCCTAGCTAAAGGAAGATTCTATATGATAAAAATGACAGTACATGTGATTCAATTGTGGTAAGTTTCTTCAATGAAATTTAAACTAATTCATATTTATTATTCATTGGTTATGGAATGCAATTATGGTATTGAGTTAATTTAATTTAATCTTTTTTATAGGAACTGCTTGACATCTTATCTGAGTATAAAAAACTTGTGTTGCAATCTATTGGGTTCAAGTTCAGAGATTTTAAGAGTAGATTTATAACCAAATATATTTTACCGTTTGTTGACAATTTTGAATTGTTATCTCATCGTCTAACAACATATTCAAATGTTATAGTGAAGCAAAGTAGTTGCAGTTTGTTCAAAATTGTCTATAAGATAAATTCTTTGTATGTATACCAATCTTATTTTGTTTTTATAATATATTGTTCAATCTAATTGTATGTTATCATTTCATTTATTTATTTTTTTACAAAAAATTAAAGAACAACAAAAAAATATACAGGCCCAACAAATGTATCATCATCAAATATCTAAAAAGGGTTATGAAAATGTGAAGCATAATCTTGTAAATATTCAAATGCTTTTATTATACTGATGGTTGAAGATTATGAACTTCATTTAATGAAAATTAGAAACTTTTATTAATTTATGGTTTTAGGAAACATTCAGCTCGAGCATCGAAATACTAAGATGGGATGTTTGGAAAAAAAAGACATATGCATAAATATGTAATGTATAGGAATGAAGTAACTGAAAAAATGGTTAAAAAAATTATAAGTTTATTTCATTTTAATATCATGTATGTTGAATGGCCTTTTATACATGAATTAATATTATATTTAGTTACTAACCATAATGTTGTATTTTAGGATGAATTTGTTACGAGATATGAATCTGATGAGTTACGAACCAGTTATGGTAAAGATATTTTTTCTTTAGCTTTAAGATCAAAAGACAGACCTGGTTGTGTTCAGGAGGTTGGGA